TAGGATCATAATATTTTGGGTTTTTTTTTTTTTTTTTAGATGGTCTCACTATGTAGTTGAGACTAATCTGGAACTCACTGTGTAGCCCAGGCTGGTCTTGAACTCATAGTGATCCTCTTGCCTTAGCCTTCCTAGTGCTGGGATTATAGGCATGCACCACCGTGCCTGGCGGATCACAATATTTTGAATAGTACAACTATCTTTTCTATGTCTTCTCCGCTCTCCCCTCTCCTAGTTTTCTGTCTTGTTCTGTCAAGTCTTGTCCAAGTTAGGGGTCCATTATATATCCTAGAATTCAAAATCCTTATGCCTCAGCATCTCCAGTGTTTGAGATTATGGGTATGTACCACCATGCTTGGCTAAAGTTTTTTTTGTTTTGTTGGTTTTTGCATTTGCATAAGTGCTGGAATAGTATACTATACTTTTGATTTTCTTCAGTCAGTTATTATTTAGTCATTTGTTGATTAACATGTAGTTCATAAAGTTGTGATGAGTGTATATGTGTATCCATCTTTATGTTAGTATTGTTTCTTCAAGACTTAATTTAACATTGTATTTTTAAATGTGAAATACAGTGCTTGGCATGATTTTGCACACCTCTAATCCCAGCACTTGGGAGACTGATGCAGGAAGATCACTGAGAGTTCATGGCCAGCTTGGGCTACATAGTGAGTTCAGGGTCAGCCTGAACTATAAAGGGAGACCCTGTCTCAAAAAACAAAACAGGGACCAGGGATTTAGGTCAGTGGTTCCCCTGCCTGACTTTCAAGCACAAGGACCTGAGTTTGATCACTGGTACAAAAAACAAAACAGACAAACACACAATATTAAGTGCAGTGACTACTTCCCCAACCCAATTTTTGTTGATACCTTTTATCTCTCCTTTATCTGAATTGTCTATCAGTTAATTTATGCAAAGCAGCACAGACCATATTGGAATTTAAAAGATTCCTAGGGACAAGAGATGTCACTTGGAAGCAGTTTTCAAAAACATGGAATACTTAACTTACTGGGCAGATAGCTTCTACTTAGTGTTAACTATGTGTTGGGCTTAGTTCTTATCATCTTATTTGTATTTTTTTCTTGAATCCCCCAATGATCCCCTTCACGTCCTCCATGTGAGGTCTGACAACGTTGCCATCTCGACTTTTTTACAGTTTACTTCTACAGATACTTGTGTTGTGATAATTACTTTAATGGAGGGTTTTTGTTTTGTTTTGATTTCCTCTTTTTTGCAGTGCTGGAGATTAAACTCAGGGCTCTTAAGACAGGTGCATCTCCAGTCCTTATTTCATTTTTTGTTTGAGACAGGGTCTCACTGAGTTGCTTAGGCTGCCTTCAAACTTGGCGATCCTTTTTTATTATTATTATTGGTGCATTATAGATAGACATAATGATAAATTAATCATATGGAATTTGTACCTATACATGATATATCTTGGTTCTTCTTTTCCATTTCCCTACCTTCCCTTCACTCTTTCTTCTTTTCCCTTTTTACAAATGGTGGTCCTTCTGCCTTGATTTCCTCAGTGGCTTGGATTATTGTATTCTCCACTGTGCCTACCTTTCTTTGCCTTACTGGTGAAGGATTGAATTGGTTTTTGTTTGTTTGTTTGTTTTAAAAATAAGGAATGCTTCAAGAATTTGTGTGTCATCCTTTTTCAGGGGCCATGCTAATCTCTGTTTTGTTCCAGTTGTAGTTTATGTGCTGCTGAAGTGAGCACAAGGATTGAATTTGTTAAATGGAACCCAGTGGAGAAATGGTATCTATTATGAAGTTTCTAATTCAATTTTATTTTATTTTTTTAGGAGAGGAAACCAATGCATCAGATCAACAAAATGAACCCCAATTAGGTCTGAAAGACCAGCAGGTTCTAGATGTGAAGAGTTATGCACGTCTTTTTTCAAAGAGCATTGAGACTTTGAGAATTCATTTAGCTGAAAAAGGGGATGGAGCTGAGCTCATATGGGATAAGGTTCGTTTTGAAAATGTTTGTCAATTATTGATGTATCACATGTATATTTTATTTATTTCACATGTATATTTTAGTTCTTGAGCTGTAATGGAACTTAGAAATTTTTGAGGTATCATGTATCAGATCTCGAGGATGTATCTTTAATTTGGTTTGGATGTTTTACTGTATTTTCAGTGTGAACTTTGTATGTATGATTCTGAGCAGTATCATGAAACTTCATTTTGAATTCTAGTAAAGGATTCGTGGTTTATAATGATCTTGACAAGAAAAGTAATGTGAATTTATTAGAATAGAATGTTCCACTGACTTAAGAAAATAGACTTTAAATTCAATATAGATGTATTAATAGAAGTCAAAATCCTTTTGTAGACAATAGCCTGTTGGCTTTATTTGACTTTGAAAGTGATTGAAATTGCCTTTCTGTTGAAATAATTACAACTTTTAGGAGGTCTGAGCTAAAGACCTCAATAGAAAAATGAGATGGACCTATTCTTAGCCTCAAGTAATATTTAATAGTGCTCTGCAGTTACCTGGTTGTTTTTCTTTTTCTTGAGACAAAGTTTCACTCTAATTCAGGCTGGTCTTGAACTTACTATATAGCTCAGGCTGGCCTCAAACTTTTGAACTTAAAGTGATCTTCCCGCCTTAGCTTCCTCGGTGCTGAGATAACAAATGTGAGCCAGTACACTCAGCTTGTTATTACATGTTGCATTGACTTTTGTTTTATTTTGGTTTGGGTTGAGTTTTTTTGGTACCAGGGATCAAATTCTGGTCCTTTGAGGCAGGCAGTGGAACCACTGAGCTAAATCCCTGGCCTATTTTGTTTTGTTTTTTAACAGATGATTGAACTCAGGGCAACCCTTGAACTGCATCCCAGCCCTTTTTCATTTTGGGATAAGTTCTTGCTCCCAAACTCAGCCTCTTAGAGTGCAGGGGTTATAGGCCTGTGCTCCCAGGCTTGAGAATTTTACGTGATGTTAATTATATACATAAGTTATTTGATAAGGTTTATATATTCATATGATGGTAAAGATTACTATAGATTTTAATGTAAGGGAAAGAGTTTGGCCAGTTTTAGAAACCTGAGATAGCTTTGTGTACACAAAGTTTAGTTGGATCAGATGTGCTAGTAAATTTAGATTCTTGAGATTCTTATAAACATTAGTCTTGTGTTTACATGATACTAAAGGTAGCCTTTTCAATATTTTTGTTATTCTAGTGGCTCAGATAGTTCATCAGTTCATAGGAACTGAATAAAGAACCCTTGGAACTGAGAATTGTTATTTTAGTTTTTTCTTGGTACTGGACCTTAGTGCTATGCTACATCCCCAGGTCTTCCTGACCTTTTCTTTTAGACAGGGCCTGGCTCTAATCTTGTGATGATCCTCCTACCTCAGCCTCCCAAGTGCTGGGATTAAAGCTGTGTGCCAACATGTCTGGCTTTTTCTTTATTTTGGAGATAGGTCTAAGTCATTAAATTGCCCAGGTTGGGCTTGATCTTGTCAACTTCTCAGATACTGGAATTACAGGATTGTGCCTCTGTGTTTTGCCTCTACCTTTTGAGAATAAAACCCATCTTACAGAGACAAAGTTACATCTCACTCAAGAATTTACCAAAAATATGAGTAGAAACAGTTAAAACAGAGAGAAGCAATTTACAACAGAGAAAAGCACATTGAATTAGGCATATGATGAGCTCATGTCAGGCTCCAAACTTCTGCTGCATCACATGTGACATGCACACACAGCAGTCAGTCATCTTTGATGGTAGCCATCCTTATTTGCTAAAAAATGACCCAAAGTGTGAATAAAATAGTAACACAGTAAATCTCATGGTTTTAGCTTTGTACACTGAAGTTTTGCACAGGGCATTGCATGGTTAAAGGGGGCACATTCAGTGATCTTTCGTCCAGTGTTGCTTCTGAATTCTACACTGGGATAGAAGCTTCTAAAAGCAGAAAGCCTTACCATATTGCACAGTCCAGGCTATCACTCAAACCATAACGCCACTTAACTCTTAAGACTTTGCTGGTGAGCATCTCTTTAGGATCATCTCTTGTTCTGGTTGACTGTCTGCAGTTTTATAAACAGGTGGAAGTACTGCTCTGAAAACATTGCTAGTCTAACTGGTCAAGTTGTAGGAAGACTTGTTATGTTGTTTATGTTTTGGCAGGATGACCCATCTGCAATGGATTTTGTCACCTCTGCCGCAAACCTCAGGATGCATATTTTCAGTATGAATATGAAGAGCAGATTTGATATAAAGTGTAAGTTGTTCTGTACTTCATTTGTATCATTGAAACCTCTAGAGAGTTGTATTTTCTTTTTTAACAGCCAAATATGTCCATCTTTTTTTCCCCCAGCAATGGCAGGGAACATTATTCCTGCTATTGCTACTACTAATGCAGTGATTGCCGGGTTGATAGTATTGGAAGGATTAAAGATTTTATCAGGAAAAATAGATCAATGTAGCAGTGAGTATATTTCTTTTTTTTTTTTTTTTTTTTTTTTTTTTTTTTTCTGTTTTTTTTTTTTTTTTTTTTTTTTTTTTTTTTTTAAATTCAGCTTCTTTTTGTTGGGAGTTTCACTGTAGGGCTCTGGATTTGATCCTAAGCACCAAAAAACAAAATTTATGAAAAGCACATTAAATGGACAACTTTCAAAATTAAAACAACAAAATTGTTTTAAAGTGATGGAAAATAACTATTCCAGTTATTTTATAGTCTGTTTAACTTTCCTGAAAGTTGCAATGGTAAAGAAAGCACATTTGCTTCTTTTATTTTTATCTGCTAAATGGAAATAGAAGCTAATTTGCTTCTAACATCTCTAGCTTTACTGAATTTTTAAAGAGATTAATGTGATCCTTGTTTTTTCAACTCTGAAAACAACACATGTGCATACACACACATACACTCTGGTTTGTGTTGCTGAAGATTGAATCCAGGGCCTTGCACATGCTAGGCAAGCCCTATACCATTGAGCTACAGGAGTTGAGACCTTTCTTAATTTCACTATATTGTATTTACTTTGATTCTTTGGGGGGAGTATTAAATAATATCAGTATACATTATATTTTTGACATAATTATGTTAACTGTCTTTGCCACAGAAAATCCGGAAATGTAGGCAGTTTGGTTCCAGACAGTGAAAGCATTATTAAATTACAGAAATGAATGTATTGATTTTTTTGAGAGCTTAAAGTTGGTATGAATAAACACCAGGAAGGACATCCACAAGCTGATTTATTGCTACAAGAGATCTTTATGACTGTATCATTACTGTTACGTTAGATAGCAAAGAAATACAGAGTTTTGTATGACTCAAAGTCCCTTTACAGCAAACCTAGCCTTGTTCATTGTAGCTGATTAGGAAAGAAGATAGGAAAATCAGACTCTTAAGGTTATGATTTTCTTGATCTTTTTGCCATATATTGTAAAGGGGAATATTTTAAGTCATTTTAAAAATTGGATATACAATAAGATTTTTAGATTGGTGTGTAAAATTGTAACTCACATTTCTGATTCCTGCTTGTGTTTTTTTCTCTGAAGATTTTTTTGAATAAGCAACCAAACCCGAGAAAGAAGCTTCTTGTGCCTTGTGCACTGGATCCTCCAAACCCCAGTTGTTATGTGTGTGCCAGCAAGCCAGAGGTGACTGTACGGCTGAATGTCCATAAAGTGAGTGTTCTCACCTTACAAGATAAGGTAAGTGCAGGGCTGGCTCCCTTTTCCTGGAGAGAGGGGGAATCCAGGTTCCTTTTTTTTGCTCTTTACATTATTACTATAACATACTAAACACCTGATCATTGCTCTGAAAAACTGACTACTGAAGTGATTGCTCTGATTTCTTAGATTACACCACTATTTGGATTCCTGCTGGCATTTTTGTTTGCATTTCCAGGATGTGTGTCTCATTCTAGAATGATACAGGTATATTTGGCTGGGATGCTTACTCCAGTTGGTACAGAGATGGCACAATTTCAGGGAAAGCAGAAGAGTTTTTCCTGTCTTTACCAGATAGTGTTAAAAACTTTACCATAGTTTTGAACAGCCAAAAAGGTATCCTTAAAGAGTCCTGATTATGACAGTGAACAGGGTATTTGCATGCACTGTGAAAAATTTTGTGTTTCCAGCAGAGCAAAACCCCAATTAGTATCTTCATGTTAAAGGGCTGTGAAGAGTGTCACTTCTTTGTCTCAGGATTTAGCTCAGTGGTTCCTCTACCAGCTTCGCAAGCACAAAGTCCCCAGTTTCGATCTCCAGTACCAAAAAAAAAAAAAAAAAAGTGTCTCACTTCTTGGTGATTACTTCAGATTATTCCTCTCTGTGTCCATCAGCATAATACATACTTATATATCTCCTGAGCTGGGGGAAGAAGCCTTTCCCTTTTGGGAAGAGTTGGTTACACAGGGCTGACCAACTTGGACTTATGTTGTGGTCAGAGAAACATCAGATCTTGCTTGGTAAACTGACCATAACATGGTGGGTGTCCTAATTTCCTAGGAAATAATTACTGTTATATGTTGACTGATGGGATTAAAGATAATTCCTCTATTTGTAAGGTAATCAGACCTATAAAGAGATCTTTCGTTAATGTTCTGAAGCAGTTAGAACTTAATAGACTATTACTACTTCTAAATACATCTTAGAATTTAAAGAGATGGCATTTGGGAAGGGCATGATTATCTGAGAATCAGTTTAGTAACAGATTTTTCCATCTAATGTCTTCCATTGCTGGGTTGGCAAAGAG